CAGCAGAGACACCTGACACCCCCCCCCGACCCCCATTTAGGACTGTTTTCCGCTGCTGGATTCTGGAAAGAGGTTCCGCAGCCTCCAGAACATCCAGGTTCTGTAACAGCTTCTTCCCACAGGCCATAAGACTTTTGAACACAAAAAAATAATCCCTCCATTCCCCCTCAAACCCCAACACAGGACTACCTCACTGGACTGTTAAATACAATATAACATACATCCAAGCGTGCAATATATTTATCTGTATAGTCATTTTTATACATAGCTTTTCTTTTTTTATATCTATTTATATCTGCACCTTATTTTTTATATGTGAATACTTGCTGCTGTTCTTATCCTGCACTACAGCGAGTCAAATGCAACGACATTTCGTTCTTATCTGCACTGTAAAGTACAAGTTTGAATGACAATAAAGAAAGTCTAAGTCTAAGTATGTGAGCATAAAAACATTGTCTGGTATTTTTTTTCGTTACTTTGTTACTCACAACGACATAGACATGTACTCTAACATAACCATTCAGCCTCATTTATTTTTAAATGCATATATGCAAGTATAATGAATAAAATATATCTTAACCTTTTATTCGGATCATGCAAAAAAAAAATAGTTTGATGTATCAAATGTCAGCTCTCATTGAACATAAACTTCTTTTCAGTTATTTTTCATAACTGAATAAATCAATTGCAAAACTAGAATATCCAACCCAGTAGCCTAGAGCCCCTGAAGTGAAACCAGTGTAATAATCGTTTGACTTACTTGTAACATCTCTAAAGCAGATTGAAAAGGTTATTGGGAAAAAAATTCTCCTGAACAAAAAATGGGCAAGCTCGAAACTTTTGTTGATTCTAATTTCAAAAACTACCTTAGCACTATGGTTGCATGTTTGCACAGTTCTTTCTGCATGTTTAAAATACTGATGCATACATTCAGAAAAGGCCACAACAAATATACAATTATTATTTATTATCCTGAACAGTTTAAAAGGGTGTTCTTGTGAAGCCTATTTGAAAACCCATCGATACACTTCATTTATGTAGCTGTGTTTCCTGTGTTTCCTGTGTACTTATAGTGTTTGTTTTCCTGATGTAGGCCTATCCTATCCTATTGTTTGTTCTTGTTTGTGGTCTTTTACTATTGGGGTATCATTGATGTTGCTTGGTTGTTTCTGTTGTAGCTATTTTTGTTTTGTCTGTGTTTTTCGTTGCTGTTTGTGTTCTCATGCTTTGTTTGAATGTATGTTTTCTACACAAAGCACTTTAAAATCCCTTGTGCTTAACAAAATTTATTTTATTTTTCCCAAATTGTTAAAACATGTGTTATATCCGTGAATTATCAACGTGTGCCAATACTTTAAACTTTGTGTTTACGTTTGTTCAAAATTCTCTTGAATAAAGATGGAGTCTGCTTCATGGATAGGGAGGTGTGTATGCGATTGGCTCAAGTTCATATTTGACGTATGAGGGTTGTTTAAGGTCACACAGGAAGTGAAGATGATGCAGCTTTTTGTGATGTTAACTGATACTGCCCTCTAGTGGTCAAAGTCTTCCACTAAAGTAGAGCAGAAGAAAGGTCTGCCAGTGACTATACCAACAAGACAATTCTCTGGGACATATAAAAGTGAGTTTGCTGTGAAAAAGGTAGTTCATGAAATGTGTTAATTTAAATTATTCAAAAGCAAAATAGAAATCGTTGAGACATAGCCTACTTTGCCAAAAGCTGAAGAGTTAGACTCAGGGTCGCCCATTGGTCATTATGGGTCAATGTATATCTCAGGTTTGGAAATCCTAGTCATTATGGCTTAAAACCCACTGGTTCAAGTTTCAGGAACTAAAATCACATTTGTACACACTGCAGCTCAGAGTACTATTTTGTTAATTCAATTGAACAAATTTTTTGTTTTTTGTTTTCTTATCCTGTTCTCTCTCTTCTGGTGCGAAGATAGAAAGTGGGGGACGACATGCGGGAAAGGAGCCACAGGTAGGATTTGAACCTGGGCTGACCGCCTGTAGGACAACAGCCTCTGTGCATGGATCGCAAGAGACATCATCTTTCACCAACCTACAATGCTGTTTTGAATTGTCTTTCAAAACAAGACAATTGGAACATGTGACTCCAACGACGCACAGACGACTGGGGATGGTAACCACTAGTTAACTCACTAACTCAGCTAACGACTCTGATGTGAGTCATCCCTGAATTATTATAAGAATTATTTTAGAAATTCACATTTTAAATAAAGTTTAATGACAATTTTTTAGTATTTTGGTAACACAACAAGACACAATAATGTAATTCAACATACTATGAAATATGAACGTGTGTGTGCCTGTGAGCACTATATATCCACGTCATGCTTTGAATATGTGAGCCTACTTATTTTATTCTATACAACCACAAGATGGCAGTGTCGTATTGTGAAACCCAAAGCACACTCATCAGTTGTGACTTGGGTAGTTTAGTGACCCCTTGTGTTGTGATCAAGACATTTCAACAAGACGTCAGCTAAAAGTTTCTCTCAGACAGAAAATTATGAAGATGGTGTTATGCTTAATAACTGTAGTTCTTTGTCAAATGAAGAACTTTGTAATTATTATAACAAAAAAATCTAAGATTTATTTTTGGCCTTTTTATGCCTTTATTTTAGATACAGTGGATAGAGTCAGAATCTAGGGACAGACACAATGGGAAAGGAGCCTCCCGCTCTCGAGTGCTGAAGCCTCAGTACATGGGGCACGCGCACTAACTGCTAGGCTACAGGCGCCCCCAATAAGGAAAATTTGAACAATTATTTTATTTTTACCTTTGGTTACCTAGTTCTCCTAAAATGCTCTATTGCTATATTATTTGTATCAGAATCATGTGTATTGCCAAGTAGGTTTACAAACCCCAGCGTTTGTCTTGCCCTTCTGGTGCACATAAAAACACACAAAATAAACCAAGAACATGAAAATAGAATTTCAAAGTAAAAAGCTAGAGAACAGCAGTACTCCTGTTGTCAGGAAAGTTAAATAAGATACAATAAACAGAAAAAGATCAATTATATAAAGCAAAAAATGACAAAACATGTGCAATAGAAGAAATGGAAAAACTTATAGGAAGTAGAAGGATGATGTTTTTGATATAGTTCTTTTCCAAATTTGTGTTTCCCCACATTATTGCTCATGCCTCCTCTTTCTTCTTGTGTTTGACTCTGGCCTGTTTCATAATTAAAAGTGATTGTGTCACCTGAGCAGTGCGTGTGGATGCATTTTTTGAAGCCACCTTCCATGCCTCATTAAAAAATTTTTTTTTTGGTTTTTAAAGTAATGGATCTCTTTATTTTCTAAGCTTCAATACTCTACTTCCAGCCATCAGCATGAAAATCAAGATTGGCAAGGGATGATGTGAGGTCAAGTGTAGAAATGATGTGACTAGATTCTGTGTCCTCCTCTGACATGTTGTTGACTCTTACACAAGAGTCGATAACACGTGTTATCGTGATGACATACCGTTCCTGTTGCCACAACAATACCACCAGTTATCCATCATCAGAGCATTCCAGTCCACGTATGTGTCCCAGAGTTCCTTTCAGATATTTTTCACGCCTGAGGTCTTTTGACCAAACACGACCACTCACTGTCTGTCAATGTGCAACAGGCAGGATGTCACGTATGATGCAGTGAAGACCAATGAGCTGGTATAATATCCTATAGTCTCCTTTAGCTCTTAACCATGCACTTGAAGCTTGGTGTCCTTTACAGCCTAGGCCACCATTTGTGTTCACAATGCGTACGGGTGGTGGTGATATTCTCTGGTTCAGGAGGAAAACAAAGCAGGAGGTGCTGAATTACAATCACAGAATGTTAAAAACCCTGACAATTCACACTTGTTATGCATCCAAAAAAACAACCCTCTAACTTTTTTTTAATGTTGCACAATGAGGAGAGCATTTCATGTAAATCCTTCGGCACGTACATGAAAACATGCAGTCGCACGTTTATGTTCATTTATCAATGTGGGAAACCTTCCACGGCTGATTCTCAAACAGCGGTGCAGGAATGCAGCCCTTGTGCTGACTCTCAGTCTGCCTTATCTGGCCTTGCATAATCTCCCAGAGGTGTTTGGGTTCCCAACAAAAACATGTATACATGTACAGTGCACAAAACATACCAGTGCTTGGAGAGAGTACACACACACACACACACACACACACATACATAGAATAAGAGAGAAATTAATGATCTGTAGGGGTTTGTACTATCTAAACAAATGGTGAAGAGAAATCTGTTCCTGCCTTTGTACATATACATTCATACAACTGTGGCTATGTATGCTCTGGTTCATTTCTCTTTCCACCAGAGTGGAACTTAATGTATGCCGTGCTTTGGCATCTCGCAGTCAAGTTATCACTTGTTTGTGCTGTCACAATGCAGGCATGTGGAAAGTACCCGTCCTCGAGTTATGTAAATACACATTTGATAGATAATTACAGTGTTTTCAACTAAAGCAGAGTGTGGACAGAATACTTAAAGCATGTGACAGCCGTCGTACTGCGCAGCTATTTCTTGTTTTGTCATGTGATTAACCCCACACACACACACACACACTTTGACCCTTGGACCCCCTTTTACTTCGTGCCGACCCACGTTCTCGTTGAGTCTGCCAAGTCCAGACCAGGCCAGCTGTGGTACAACAGAGTCCATTGTGTTCTGCTATATGAAACTGTTATGTAAGAAACAAAGAGTGACATCACCATCCACAGGGCCAGTTGACACCCCCACTGCACGCGACACAACCCCCCCCCCCCCCAGCCCTCCCTCTGCAGCTCAATCATGGACCTACTAGTTGGGATATTGGCAGAAAGTAGTGTATGTGGTGTTCAGGGACCAACGGGGTTAAATGTAGAGTTGGTTTCTTTCTAAAAGCAAACAAACTGATGAGAAAAGAAATGATTGAGGAGATGACGAGGGATTTGTTCTGTGGTGTGGTTGACCCATTATCACATAACACACACACACACGTTTTTTTTATTTATTTTAATACATTTAATAGTGCACTTTGATTAACCTGTACAGAAATAATATTAATAAAAAAGATAAAACATTTGTTCATTTCAGTAACACAAAGCTGAACATTTACAATAAAATAACACAACATCGTATGATACAAAACAAACATATATCTGAGGTATAAATATATTTGTTTAAATTAACTGTCACTGTCATGCGTTATTATTTGGCAGAAACACAGTTAAAGGGTACAGACGCTTACAATAATGAACGATGGCTTAGAGTATTAATCATACAGCTCCACATGACGTATGCGAGTCCTCAGATTAAAGCGTGAGAGTTACTAAATAAAGGTCGACTTTCAGAGAGTTATGAAGACCTTCATCTTGACTTCTTTTTTTAAAAAACACTGATACGACAGCACGGAGAAAGAAGCTTACATGAAGAGAGTTGTTTATATTCCTTCTTTTGAAATCACACAAACATTCAATCCGCCCTCTCCTTTACAGTAAAACCTGTAAAATCTCCACCTTTATAAAAGGACCATTGTTTCTCTGCTTACTTCTCATCTTCTATAGGACTAGCCCGAGGTTTCTGTGCATTTTTTTTTTCTGTTCTATCTTTGTGAATTCCATATAAGTATTTTACTTTTATTTTTTTTACATGTATACAAGTGTTAACAGCTTAAAACGATAAAAGAAGGTGAACTGACGGTGCTCTAACTCTAACTTTCTACTAGTGAGGGAAAGCTCAATATGGGGAGGAGATTCCTTTCATCAAAATCCACATTTGGTCCTTTACTTTAGATCTGTTGGTCTTTCACTTTAGCTGTGTTGGTGTGCCTCTTTCTTCAACACAGCTTGTTCTGGTTTTAAATGTTAATGAATGAATGTATATTTTGTTATATATTATAACTTCAACAACAAAATGAACTTTGGATCAAACTAATGACCTCATTGAAGCTAACTGGATTTGACTTCCTGTCTAGGTCCTGTTCTGGATGTTTCTTTTTCTCTTTTTTGGTGAGCCAGCCACCCGTCCTCATCTGTTTCTACCTTTCTCTACTAACATCCTAACCTTCTGTACCATCAGCTGTCACCTCACCTCACCACATCCTGTCTATTGTCTTCCATTCAGTCAGCACATTCACATCTTTCTGCACCAATGGATTCATCAATCAGCTGATCATAATATTATCTTCTATAATAATAATAATAAACCTCCTGTGCTTTACTGTAACAGAAACAAAAAGAGGTAACACCATACGGACACAAAGCCTTACTGTGAACAGAATACTGTATGTACACATTATGCTGCCACTGGAAACCAGCGTGAGGAATATTTATGTATTGACTGTTTGCTGCTTATACCACATACACAAGCATACACACACACACGTGCGCGCACACACACACACACACACACTTAATGAATCGTCCGTTACTTCTCAGAAGCAATAGCACCCTTTTCGATGAAACCTCACACCATGTTATCGGCGACGTCACATCCTTTGGCCCAGATAATTGTTTGTGTGATGTGCAGCAGCGCACTAAGAGCCCCAACGGAGTGTTTTTTGGGTTTTTTAACGGTAAAATCAGTCTGCAAGAACAGTCCTTCAATCCAGGATCAGGGGTTTGTCCTCTAAATGGGAACCTGGATGGGTTGAATGATTCATTTCCGGTCCTCTGTAGGATCCAACAGTCCGTTTGGGACAGACAGTTTCTGTTGTCCATGTTATTTGTCCATGGAGACAGTGAACGAGTCACGTATCCTCGCCACCTCTGCAGCACACAAGTGTCCATACAGTTTGTTGTACCACTCTGGGAAACGACCCCTGGGGGAAAAAAAAAAACAGAAAAGAGTTGTGGTGTCAGCTCATGGTACGATCAGATAATAAGCATCGATTGAAAACAGAACTTTGCTCTTTGTTCTCACCTGCAGTCGATCCTGGAAATATATGTGAGTCTGGATTTGTTGGTCCCACAGGGCTCGATGTAGTAGCGTGAGGTGAGGACGTTTACGCGGACGCCTACGACAGGTGCGCCTTCATGGTCAACGGATGTACACACCAGAGCACACGCTCCCTTTGGCAGGTCTGTCATCCATGTTCTGAAGAGGAGAGTAAAGGGTATGGATTACAAAACAATGATTCGGCAGAGCAGAATATTGAAAAAGGTATATAAAAAAAAAAAGAGGAGGATGGATAGAGATGAAGAGGAGCAAAGCAGAGCTGCCTACCTGAGCACCAGGTGGTCTCTGGTGGGATGTGGAGCCATGGTGTTCCTGACGTACTGGTAGATCTCCGTCCTCTCATCCAGGGTCTCCACCACCCGGCTCTCGAGCAGGTCCTCGTCCCAGTGGCCTTGCTCCCGCAGCACCCTGGTCAAGACTTCCTCTGCGCCTGCAGGCAACTCCACTGTCACCTTCCATAGTCGCAGAGGGAAACCGTCATGAACCTGGAGAAACAGATGGAGAAAAGCCCATCACATTACACACTATTCACTCTCAATATGTAAATAATTGTTTTTTTGTTGATCACGGGAGGGCCCTTTGTTTAGAAACGGATCTAAAGTGATGCTGATTGACGGCAGGTGTCGCATATAGAGAAGGAGGTCGATGGTTTCAGACCGTGGTTCGATTGCGCAAAGGCAGTGAAAGGACAGGTGGGGAGATATTGTATATTTTTGTTTTCCCAACAAAATTATTTAAAAAAACATGGAAAAAAAACACAAAATATCTGTATTTAATAGATTGGCATATCCAACATTTCGCTTGAAACCTCATAGAGTTTAGTTCTGAGTGACTGAAGACGTTGCAAAAATGTTTTTGGACACATCAAGAAACAAAAAGGTGCGTCATCAATGTAAGTCTTTGTTTGATTGCTGAAAGAGTTTAAATATTTTAACATTTAAGAGTCATTTAAATATACATTAAGCCCTTCAGGGTGGACCAGAGAAAAATACGAAGTGAGGAAAGGTGACCCGGACGTTATTTTAGTTTGATTATTTCTCCCTCTTGTTGTTCAAGTGGGAAGCAAGCGGTGAAAAAACACAAGCGCCTCGAGCGTCTTGTGTAAGTGTCCCACAAGGATATTTAATCGTATTAGTCTTATTTACAGAAAATTAGAAATCCAGATTGAATTCACAACAGCCAGTCTGTACTTCAGAAAACCACCCGGTGCCCTTCAGCCAAGTCAGCTGCTCCGTCCGTTCTGCCTTCAGACGATAAAGAACACACACTCCTCGCCTTGTGACTCCTCAAACATGAGGAAAGATAACCTCGTACGCTCGGCCCTTTGCACACCAGAACTCCGGAAATGTAGGCCTGGGATAACGTTGGAGGTTGTGTGATGTTTTTGTGTGTCTATGTCAAGCTGATGTCATTCTGGGAGAGAGTCCAGCGTAACAAGGATGGGAACGGAGAAGCTAAGGGCAAGGCCAGTTTCACACGGATGCGTTTCTATACAGGAAACCCAAACTGCTGGTTTTCCATGAGATATTTAGAGAGGCACAAGAGTTTAGAAGACAGGAAACCCATGGAGTTAAAAAAAGGACAGTGTGCGCTTTAGGAATAGTTGCTTGTTTACATGTTAAAGAAGGATTGGCTGTCTGCTTTTTCCCTTCTTAATTAATCTTTCTGTTGCAGATATAAGACTGTATTCAGCCTCTGCCACAATCAAACGCTGACTGAGCAGTAGAAAAAACATAATCTCCTGAGACAGAAAGAGCTTTTCTCACCTTCCTACAGGACAGCTCGGCGTGCTCGGGCGTGGAGCAGCTGTCATATCCTTTAAACTTGTCCTTGGCGTCTTTAAGGAGGGCGTCCAGGCTGTCTCGGAGGTAGGCCCGGTAACCTCCCTGTGCCGCGTTTTCACCCGCCAGCTCCTCCAATCGTCTTGGCAGCAGCGCCTGCTCCACGTAAGAGTTCCTGCAGCGATTCATCTCCTCTGGGATCTGAAGGGAATGAGTAGAAGGAAGAGGATGAGGTTTTTTTAATTTTTTTTTTATATCCTTTCATTGTGGGCAGGATGTATAATAGACAAATAATGTTTATCTGACTGGGAGTGAAAGCTTCAGTGAGAACTTGATAATTAAGTTTGCTATTGAGATTTCGATCAGTAAGGTTGCGCAACAATTAAAAACAGGAACATAGATCACAATATTCTAATCTTCCTGTTTCCCCAGCTAATTATATCCCATTTTTCTCTCTCCCGTCTCTTCTTTACCTGCAATCTCTCAGGTTTAATTACATTACAATCTAAGAAAAGGATTTTCATTCGATCATAGAGGGACTCCATGTATATTCTTGTCAAATATTTCATAGCTCATCCTATTTGTATGACCTCCTACGAGCAAATAGAGATTTAATTTCGAGAAGATAATTCAGGCGCTCATTGAGTTTGGTGGTGTGTGATGTGATCACGACAGGAAGTCAGGAAGCTCCCCTACAATCTAATCAAACTTTGAACAGTAATGACCCACGGTATGCACCCTATTAGCTTGCACTGCACAACGGCATAACTTTAGGATAAATGGGATTGAAATTGGATTAGTATAAGTGTAGTTTGCTGATTATTTCCTGTAATGCAGTAAAGTTCCCTCCATGTGGGCACACAGAACCAGACTGCATTTACGAAGGAAAGTCAGATTGTGCACAAGAGAAGGACAGGTGGAGCCTTTTCTCAATGTTATTATTGCGTGAGCAGATGACAACATGACATTGAATTAAAGAGTTAAGCAGCAAGGACGATGTGTTTGTTTACAGGACAAACAAGTGGAAACAAGGTGTTTGACAGCGACAAGTTGCAGCGAGCCAGAGGTGACATTCAGCGTTTCAGCAGCTTCATCCCTTAAGTTGGCACTTTGCCACTTAGATCCGAGTGTCTCTTTGTGAGACGACACACTGATGTTTCAGTACTGACCCTGAAGAGTTTCCTGCACTCCTGGATCATATGTGCGAGGCCGTGAGTGGCAGCCAGGTTCTCATTCAGGTCCCTCTGGTCCGGCTTTCCCAGTGTCGTCTTCCTGTTCATCACCCTGTGAGACAAAAGTAGGACACCATGAGTAACAGCAGCCATTATTGATCCATAGACAGTCGACATAAGAAAGAAAACGGGTCAGAAGAAATAACGCGTTCAACCTTCTTTAAAATATGGAACAAAATGGACTTTTCCTAATTTGCTAAAGATGTTAATGTAACCTGTCTATTTCCTCTATCTCTCTCCATTCCTCCTCCTCCAAGCTTTGCTCTCTTCCCTTTTGTTCTCTGTCCTCCATCTACAGCATCCTGCTCTTTTGTTTCATTCGTGCGACCATTTCCTGTTTTTCTGAATGTACAGAAAATCACACAGTATGCAAGCTGCTCCTGCATTAACCGTGTTCAGAGACCAACCTCGGGGAGGAGCTCTCCTTGCGGCGCAGAGTGTTGAGATGAAACAGGGAGGGGGCCAGACAAACGGCCAGGTTGGTGGGAGTCATCTGGTTCTCAGCCACGCTGGCTGTCACGTCGCTCAGCAGGCACAGCAGCGTCCGTAGAGCCTCGCGGTTCTCGTCGGGCAGCAGCAGCACGGCGGCGCGCACAGCCTGCAAGCGGAGCTCTTTGGGCATGTCTAAATAGAGAGAGAGGGAGGGAACTTTTAATATCATATCAAACCCCCACCACTAATAACTAATGTACAGCTACACTATGTCGTGCTTTTGCCTCGCTGGATAACAAAAAAAGAGGCTTGTTATGCGTCTTTCCTCACCTGCCAGGAATGATAAGTGTGTTACATAAGCCTATATGTGTGCGTACATGTACGCTTCCTCCTTCATACATGAGTGGTTTTGTTTCACCTTATATAAACAGTTCCTTAAGTAATACTGTATTACATATATCCCCTCATTCCACAGGTATTTCCTGCACTTATCTTGCTTTGTGTTCTTGTCACAGTTTCACAAGTTCTTGCTTAATTGCAGGCAAGCATGTGCAGCACTAAAACAATACACGTAGTACACGTAGCCTCTTACAGATGTGTGGCTGTGAAGTCGAGGCACGTGTGACCACATGTGTCTGTCTCGAAAAAGATCTTGTTTACAAGTCTGTGTTCTTACACTGATAAATCTGGAGGAAGGTCTCGGACAGTTTGCTGGTGAGCAGGGGTTCTGGCAAATCTCTGAAGTACTGCTTCAGCATGTCTGCGACGTCATACGCTGACTGGCCCTCGTAGTTGACCCCGCCCCCGTCTGCGCCGCTGGCCTCGTTCATTTGGCGGAGAGCTTGGATGCGAGATTTGACTCCTGATTTCCTGAAAAGACCCACCTGGAAAAAAGGGCGAAGGACAAACAGAGAAAGAGTCACGTCAGAGAAACCTGATGAGTCAGCTTTGAACTATAAATCCCTTATTAGTCTCGTTTTGATCCTATTATTAAGCCGTTAGAAATTTTGATTCATGTGCCCGAAGCGAAAACAAAAATAAAGTCTGTTAAAGAAGCAGGTTGTTTTCATTGAAAATACTTCTGACTTATACTCAAATCCAGAGCTTACAGTCAATATGGTTACATCACTACAGATCCTGTTGTCTGTATTTACAAGAGGCATTTCGCTGAATACTTCATCGTGTGTAGGACCTCATCAGTGGCCTTGTAAGGCTGTATGAAAGGGCAAAGCTTGGGAGGAAAAGAGCGAAAGTCCGTTGGCTTGCCCGGCCTGAATATTTTCCATGAGCTTTCACCACTCTCAAACAGAGGCGCCTTGTCCTGCTTTGACATGAAAAAATATCACTCCATTTACTGTTGTGCCGAGCATTAATGGCTATTTTCTCTGTCTTCCCTCTTTTTTTTTTCCATCCTGAATGTGCACAACGCTCTCTGAAATAAATCTTTCATAATGTTTCCTTATAAAACAAACAGACACAGGGGAATTGACAGCTGCACACTTTGACTGTCTCCAGGCCTCCTCGCTTCAGCAGATGTGTGACACAGAAGAGAAAAAGGTGGACAGGATCTGAGTACACACGCTCACAATGCGGGTATCAGATTATTTTTCCAATGCTCCTTCTTATATAACATCCTTTGAAAATCCATAGCTGAATATCTGACTGATTGCAGATGTCCTAATAAACGTTAGTTAACTCCAGTACCTTAAAGAAAAGGTTTTCCTTTAACCTTTGGAAACTGCAAATAGTACTTCAAGCTAACTGACGGACTGGCAGGGAATTTGGTGCAATATGTCCAAGCGAATACATTACATGCACAGGTTTACATACATGTACAGATGTGAGTTTATTGGTGTGCTTTGTGTTACCTGGTCGAGGCATTGGCTGCGTAAATAGCGCATGGCCTGCTGGATTCCCTGAGGGAGGGGCTGGCCCGTCCGCTGGACGATGACTTGTAGTGGCACACCGAACACATTCCTGTCTTTGTAGTCGCGCACCTTGATGCGCTTCATAAACTTTGGCACAGCCCTGCAACACACACAAAAATACACAAACAGTAAGAAAAAGCCATGCAATTCAAATGTCAAGAAATCCAGATTCACCACCATCAAAGACAGGTCTTTTTTCTATTTTCTTTTCTTTTTTTTTTTTTTTTTAGAATTGTCACTTAAATTTAAATCAATGGCAAAACTCTACAAGACAAAATCAAATTTCAGCAGTTAGTCAGGATACCAAAGTTTTTGTGTATATGCGTTTGTTTTCTGTGTTTGGAAGAGGAAACCAAGCATCTGCAGAAGCCTGTCTCCAGGTTTATGAGGGGGGAGGATAAACAGGGTGAGGGGAGAATGGAGACGGGGAGGAGGTTGTATGCTCGGGTGTTAAAAGGGGAGGATCCCACCGCTTTATACATCCGTGCAAAGTGTCTGTGTCACTATTTGTTGTGTGTGTATGTCTGCATTTGGATGCAAGTGAACACCAAGTGTGCAACCACAACCTCAGAGTTGAAACACGCAACTCTGACTATTTCCCAAGAATACACCCTCACATTTACGGCCGTGCATCTCTCTGCATGGGTGTGAGTGTGTTTAGCAGAAAGACGCTATGCGTGACTCGGGACAAGCTCGTCTTTGTGAAAGCGAGTCCAAAGGCTGAGAGAGTGCTTCTCAGAACCACACTTTGGAAGAAAAAAAGATGGAAAAGGAGCACATTATGATCTCGGCACGGAATTCTGAATATGTGTGGGCCTCCAGCGGCCAACAAGTGGCCTCTGTCTTTCAATGAGCGCCAGCCTGTCATAAGACAAGCCTGGGTCAAACCACTTTCTATTCCTGTCCAAGGAGGAATGAACAGAGAAAGTGGAAAAATACAAGAAGATGATGTGATGTGCCATTTTCAGATAGTTTCAGTCATTGGAAATTGTAAAGTCGAAAAATATCTTAAGATGCCAAAACACAGGCAATGCTTTGCATGTGCTGATTGTGTTTGGTTCACATTAATTCCGTCTGCATTATTTATTTTAAATTGGAAGAATCTTTATGCATGTTTTTTTTCCTGTCATGTAAGCTAAGCCTTGGAATCATTTCAAAATCTCTGAATAGATACAATAACAGGGAGGATATTAGATCCCACTGGATGACTACAAACAGCGTATGAAGTGACGTCACATCAATAGCCTCATGGTGGTAGAGAGGGTATATTGGTGGACGGATAATTGCTGGGGACTGATCTTTCAAGCCTCCAGCTCCTGTAACACCAATGCGTGTGAAGCGCCATGATTGCCCCGTTGAGAAAAAGACAATGTACACCCCTTCCCAGCAATTATGGGCCTGGGAAAAGAATGTGAAACCCAAGCTCTGTGGACAGCCGTCACCATGCTACATAACAACCTGCAGACGGATGGCACTGGGAGACAGATTGGGATGGAAGGAGGAGTAATTGGAAGAATTGAAGGCATGTCACATGATCACATACAAAATCGCCCTGTTCTCAATACGTAATCTCTGTCCACTCACCAGCTGAAGCCATGTTTGTTTGTCGGGGTGTGTCTCTCCAGCAGAGCAGTGAGCTGCAGCAGGGAGAGCTTCTGCAGCAGATTCATCTGTAGCACTGACTGGCTGCTAATCTGGAGCTGGGCCGAGGCCAAGCTTGGCCGATGGGAGTTCTGGAAGCTTGGCCAGCGAAGCTTCTGCGGTCTGGAGTAAAGGAGGGAAAGAGACGGACAGACAGCACAGATTGAGTTGTGAGAAGAAGAGAATGGGTTGATAAAAAAATATAGCTCTCTAAGCCCTCATTTATGTGTCATACTTTTGTGTAAACACAAACTCAGTATTTGTAGTTTTCTGTGCTAAATGATCAGGTCAGGGATTAGAGGGATTTATGTACACATCAATCAAGAGACTAGCTAAGAGACTATGAAACCCCACGCCCCTCGAATGTAACTCTGCCTGTGGATTCCTGAAGGAACAGCAACAATCGCCATGGAGACCAAGCGGCATTCCAGTGTTTTCAGCAGCATTACGTAAGGAGAAAAGTCTCAGCGTGTCCCCCCAGTTTATCCTCTGCTGTCACTTTCAATGGAAAACTCTTTCTTTTACCCCACTGTTTGTCTTTCTATTGTGTTGTCGTCCTTGAGCTTCTCATGCACTAAGTTAGTGTTGGGCTGGGGTTTCACACAAAGAGACTAAATGATGATCCTGTTAGTAGGCTGGAGGGGGAACTATATGGATAGGATAAAAAAGTTATAAGATATGCGGTTGTATTGGAACTACTTTCTAAAAACCCAAATGAATTCCTCCTCTTCATATTGGGATAAAAACTGGGTCCAAAAACCATTTACATTAATTGCGTAGGTTTGCTTCCAATTTAGATTAACTGACACTTTAATATTTCTGATGCATTTCTAATAAGACAATTGAGATTTCTTTTACTGACCTGCTGGATCTGGTCAGAGATGCCCCGACACCAGAGTCTCTTCTCTCTCTCATCCCCTCCTCTCCCTCGCCCAGAGGGTTTCCTGTGCTGTCCTGGTCACTTCCGTTCTCCGTCTCCTCCAGCCGGTTCTGCAGAGGAGATGACGGGCACGGGGAGGCAGAGTCCAGGGCCGAATCCGAGTCTCCTTCTTCCTCTTCATCCTCCTCCTCTTCCTCCTCTTCCCCTGCCACAGCCTCCGACCAGGCGTTGACAAACCTCTGCAGGCCGCTGACATGTTGCAGCACTTCCTCCAGCTTGCGTTCGTCCCCCTCTTCCTCGTCCCCCTCCTCCTCTCTCTCAGTGCAGGGGACGTTGTCGTAAAAACTGAGCCTGCTGTCGACAGAGCCTGAGGACACTCGGCGCTGGCGTCTGCTTTGCCTACCCCTGAGGATCACTGAGTTGCCGTTATCGTTCCCGTTGTTGTTGCGCGAACTCCCGTCCTGCAGGGCTTTGGGGAAGGTTCCCGGTTTGTGACCTTCTGGTAAGAAGAAGAAGATCCCGCCATCCTCTTGCTCCTCTTCCTCTTCCGCTTGTCCGCTGTTGCCTTGAACGCTGCAGTTGTTCCTGCGGTTCTGCTCATCCACTGTCATCCCGTTGCTGGCTTGGCAGGTGATGGGAGGGGCGGATTTGGGCAGGGTTGTTGGCTGTCGATCTGAAGCTTGTTGGAGAATGCTGAAAGGGTCGAACCCCTCTAAATACATCCCTCCTCTCTTTCCGGACCCCGCGGCCGTGCTGTGGCTGCGAGCCCGGGTTACTGGGCTCGGCGTGCTGACCGCACTCCCGCTGCTCGCTTCGGACTGGCTGCTCCCGGTGCTCCCAGTGCTGCCGCTGCTGGTCTGAGTGGAGTAGGAAACAGAACGATTCCGGTTAAGTGTCATAGTTTGAGAGGGATTGCGGTGGTGATTGAGGTTCTGGTTGAGGTTGATACTGGAGATGTCCACGCAGTTGAGACTTCGCAGCTTGTCATCATCCAGACCCTCTTTGATGACAGGGCCGCTGATTTCTATCTTCCCTCCACCTGTGCTCCCCTTCTTCTTTCTCTTCGAGGTGGTGCCACTGCGCAGTCGCAGGCTCTCCATCCTCTTGAGGAAGCTTTTAGCTCTTGAGCGTGTGCTTTTGCCGCTGCCACCCCCTCTGTCCAGACTACCTCCCAGTCCTCCCAGTCCTCCCATCCCTGTTTTCACATCGAAGGTAAAATGTTCAAGCGCCTCCAAGGGTGATGGAGGCATCCCATCAGAGAGAGAGTCCTCATTGGCGCAGCCTGACCCGCCTGTACCTGAAGACGAACACATGCTCGCTACGGAGCTAGCACGAGTAGCACCAACCAGGACGGCTTCGCTTGTCAGGGACGGCCCATGGCTCTTCTCCTCTCCTCTTCCTGCACTCCCGCTGCTGTGGATGGAGCCCACTTCAGGCTGCTCACTGAGGTCGGTCAGCACACTCTCTGAGCTGTTGCCTTCATGCAGAGCCAGCTTTCCCTTTTGGGATACTTGGTCCTTTGGAAAAGTTGGCGTCGCCGAATCTGTCGTCAGAGATGAGAAAACCTCCAGCTCGTCCATACGTGACCAGCGCTTGCTGTCTCTCTGGAAGGTCCAGCGGCCACTGATGGCACACGGCTCGTCCTCATCCGAGTCCTCGCTCTGGAAACCCGGAGAGGGAGGGGACAAGGGAGGGGGAGAAGGAAATCGAAGGGAGAGATGGAAAAAAAAGGAGAGGAAAGGAGAAGAACAGTTAGAGGATATTATACACTGCTATGTTCCCTTTTTGTCTCCAAAATTCCTCACCTATGTCCAGGAAACTTTCTGGTGAAATTATTTTTCTAAGTGTTGTCCCATTTCACCTTCAGTCCAGTTGCCATTTAGACTTGACATAGGTTAGTTTCAATGACATAAAAAGACAACGCTATTGCACAGCACACTGCTTGGACAATAGATACAAGACAAAACAAACAAAGCCAGAAGACTGAGTTACACATAGAACACAAGTGCATTAACAACATGTGCACACCTCCCCAGTTTGGCTAATCTGTGTCAGGCCCTAAGAGGAGTTCAGGAAATTCCATTTTGACCCCCAAAGCTCCCAATGCAGCCGGCCAGACTGGGGTCATTCCCCCCCTCCCCCCCTACTGTCTTTATCCCCTCCGTCTGTACGTATGCACTCAGTGAGTGTGAGACAGTGTCACTGATGCTTCTGTCTATCCCAAAGATATCCACCCATTAAGAGAGAAGCTAAGATCAGAGTTTCCAAAGTCTTCTTCATACTTTCTAATCAAAGAGAGAGACTTCAACTCCATAAAATAATGACAATTTACACATTAATAAAACTCGTATTAAATTCTCTAATGTCTCTCATCTGAACCCACACAATAACTTGATAAGTTTACGGAAATTAAAGTTTTTTGTGGTAAGAGATCTAATGCCAGAAAATCTGTTTTTTTGACAAATAATATTCCATTATGAAAGTGATCCAATTCAAAGAGTCTACTGACTATTACTTGAGTGTCAGTGTTTCATTTCCAAATGGGCATCAGATACAGGCATAGTTGATACAATATTTTCAGTCAGAACATGATGTAATTTCTAACAAAAGTGGACAAAAGCACAACCAAACGGGGTTTCATACAGTGCTTTACTGGAGACAGTCACCTTAAGAGGACAAGGGAAGTGTTTGTGAAATTTTGCATTCTGTTGTAGCCTTTTCTCTCTCCACAAGTTATGGAATGTGAGATAACAGTTGTGCTTATCATTGTGTAGAAAGAGACGTTATTGGCCAAAAGAGCTTCTACCATTCCCCAGCATTTAGCAGATAGCTTATCCTCAAACCATCAAGCCACCAAAGCAGTCAGAGCAGTGTTGGCCGCTTTGAATGTGACAAGGCTGCTTCAGCAGAATTTAAACTATTTATAATTACAATTAGACAGATAGAAAGAACAAACCAGAAAGAATGAGAAACAGACAGATGGGGATTTAAGAGAGGGGGAATGCGAAGACATGAGGAGATCAATGCATTCCTTTGCTGTGCAAGGGAGGGAGGGGGGTGTCGTCCTACAAACATAGCAAATAACCTCTTTGACTCTTCTCCGTTGACTCCTTAAATGAAAGGTGCCGCAGAGAGGGTCATCCTAATGAATACCACCACACACAGAACAAGGATGTTACTATGTAGCACTTAAAGCCATTAGAGAAACTGGGTCGATTTAGACTTTCTAGTTTACATGCAAAGGAACATTTCCAAGAAGCTTGTTTCCTTGAAAGTAAGACCGAAGTGTGTCAGTCTTTTTTTTTTTCTTAAAATCTATGAAAAAGCACTATTGTAAAAGTGTAGTGTACAAATTATTTTTTCAGGTGAGGAAGAAGTATGAGGAAGTATTTGAGGAAGAACGGGAGCCTGCCTTGAGTAGGGGAGGTCCTGTTGAATGAGACCCCTTCATTTAGACATTAAAGCTACCCTCCCTCCCCCTAGGGTCCTTACAGCCCACTTGATTCAGAAATAAACCCAACAGGTGCCTTCTAATTAAACAAGACGAGAGAGAAAACACAGCTTTGCCCTGTGGGCAAGAGTGAACCGATGGCTGAGGTGAGGAAATCCAATTGTGGTTGAGGAGCAGAGCAAACAGGCTTTTTTAAACGGGAGGAGTGGAGTTAATATATGTGTGTGTGCGTACTTACTCTTTTCCTTTGCGGTGAGATCTCTAGTCGCATAAGAGCACACTTGTTGAGGGTGTTCAGTCTCCTGCAAACACAAACACACATGCAAACTTGGTTACATTTAAACAGGCATTAAAATATTCCAGCCCCTTGTTTTTTTTCCGAGAAGACAAGCTGCTCATCACCAAGAGGATACATGATGGAAAAAAAGGATGAAGTCTGGAAAAAGAAGAAGGGAAAAGAAGGACGGAGGGGGAGCTTGTGTGCACCCATGCTGGCTAATGAGCTGCTGAAGGATAATCCCCATCTGAGCGGGAAGAGAATGAGAGGGGAGACAGAAAAAGGAGAGAGCGAGGAGAATGAAATCTGCTGGAGTGGCGACGACATATTCGGGGAGGAGGGGAGGACAGAAAGCTTATCCCCCCCCCCCCAGCCACCTGGTGAAGGGGAGCGAGTGGGTGGTGGTGGTGGTGGTGGTGGTGGTGGGGTCCACCCTCTCTAGAGAGCTCTGAGAGCAGATCATGTAACAATGGAGAGATGAAGGGATGGCGACCTGGGGATAGTCGGGGTTGTGGGGAGGGGGACTTGAAGGCAGCCAAAAGAGGAGACATTGAGATGATAGCTTCCAGATGTGTTGAGGGACACCTGCTGAGGTTTATTACTGAGAGTCGGAATTTGATTAAGAAGTCGACTCCATTAAAGAGCCATTAACCTCCTCCTCAGATGCTAATGAATACGGCAGGGCATCTACTAGAATGCAAACACAGTCCTCTCCAATGACACTTTGGCTATTTACTGCCATTGTATTTCATATAAAAAAAAAGATATATGACGTCCAAAACATTCCACAGAGATTTTCTGTGGCAGATACCAGTGTGGATATCTACCACCAGTGCTGCCAACAATGACGCAGCCTAGTAGATTGTAACTAACTGCAACAGTGTGGGGCGAGTAGAGCATGTAATATTGGCCTTAGCTGGTGAATGTAAGTAATCAGTGTATTCCCACCAATGTTCTTATTTATTTTTATATTGCACTGGTATCCAATAAATAAATTATATCAGTCAATACTCAAGTCGTGGTGTCAGAAACAGTCTTGGGGGGAAGGGGGAATTATATTGAAACATCTTACTACCATTAAGCCTTTGTCATTGAAAGTAACTAAGATCTTTGAAACTTTATCTCAATATATGGCCCACGTTTGGAGGCAAATGAGCTAGGAAAGGAAACACTGAAAGTAAAGAGCATTGCGTGACAACTGTGAAATTTCAGAGTGAGATATGTGCTTGCCAGGACGATACAAAAGACTCGGATGATTGAGGTAAACACAATCAGCCCTAGAGAAAGAAGAACATAATGAGAGAGCGAGGTATGGACGTAGAAAACTAAATGGAGAGATGGAAAGCTAGAAACATGGCTCCAAGGTGCTTATCGTGTCATTCTTTCATCTCGTCGGCAACTCTCCAAAGCATGCCTCCTTTTGAAGTCCTGCCCTCATGCTTTGGTTGAGATAGCACAGCAGTATGAATGGTTCGTAATCTCACCTGCAGAGAGCCTCGATAGCGTCCCGATCGAGGAAGTCATGGTCTCTGGTGACTGAGAAGATGTCGATGGGGAACAGGGCGTCTGAACAGAGAGAGAGGGAGTCAGATTAGTTTGGGCATCTCCCTGCTGCTGATTGGATCAATGTGTTCAGATTAAAACTAAAGATACATCCCCAATGGCCTCAAAAAAACACCCACCCACTCAAACACCCACCAAGGCCCTTCCGTCCCACCTTCTCCCCCCCATACAAGGCTCGATGAAAAGCTAAAAGAGGAAGTAGCGTCTTAGCCGACCAAACAAACACAGCTGCAGCTTTCAGAGCCGGCAGGCAGGGGGGATGCGGAGCACAGAGGGAGAGAACAGGGGATTGATTGAAGAATGACAATAGGTACTCCAACACTGCTCAGAGGTCCCACTTCCTCTCCTCCTTCTCTGTCTTTCTCCTCAAGTCTTACTCAGTAACAGGATTAAGAGTGGAGCATAGCTGGAGTGTGCCTAAAATCATACAGAAATCTCAAGCACTAGTCTGGAACATCGAATGACTGAAGGATTGACAGATTTTCAGAGGTTTCTGGAATCTGTTGAATCCAACCCAAAATGGGAATCTTGCGTCTAAATCCTTCGGGGTGATGATGAGAAGAAAAAGCTATTCAGGGACAGCAGCACATTTAACCACATGTGCTGAAACAGGCTTATCAGTTGGCTTATCTTTAGTGGGGCAATAGTCTTGACAGCTCAGACAATATAGATTGTCTCAAGAGAAAGAAAAACATGTCTTGCATCGGCACAAATTATTTTTTCTCTGCGAGTGACATGTCAACAATCTACACAGTGATTGATTGTGGTTGGAACTTTTGTATTACGTCATGTATGTATGAAGCAGCCTCATCACCTGGGCGCAAACACAATGAGCTTTCCCTTCAAATAGGAAGCCTTAACGGTTAAGTGGCAACAAGCAATGACCTGTTGACAATGGTGTCTTGGTCTATCTGTCATCGCCCTCTAGTTACATAAGTGCAACTGGTATGCCATGGTATCCCATAGGATAGCAGGAGTAGCTATATGGAGCGTATAGAATGCTTGATGTGTTTATGGGTGTTTATGCGAAGGGTCTCCAAAGAATATTTTCCAGACATTTGCTTTTGAATGAGTTATTTTAGAGGGTACAGAAAACACGTGTTGTGCAACATGAACAGTAAGTAAAAAAGACCTTTGACCCTCAGAGTTACTGTACAAGTGACAGCATAGTTAATGTTTGGAATATAGTTGACTATGTTAGGGTTTGTGTGGTTTTAACGGCACAGCAAAGTACCCTTTACTTCTAAGGAATGTTACGCTGGATGTGGCCTGTTGGCATGCAAAGGGGGAAGATGTGTATGTTGGTGTTTTGTGTGTTGGACACAGGACAAAGTGGTCATAATTCTACAGGAGCTAAACACAATCAGTTGTTAAAATGACTCACAGTTTGGTAGAATGAGCACTTGTATCTTATGTACATGAAAAATATTTGTATAATTAGCTACACTACATTAGAAGCTAGCCTAAAGATGATTTAAAGTGGTTTGAAAAATACTAGTGAGTTCACACTTGATTATCAAAGTCTAACTATATCTTTCTCATAGCATGACCTAGGAGTGCACCTTCTTTGTCCCTGCTATGTTAATTACAGTTAATTGAAAAGCCTAGGTTTGGGTGTGGCGGTCTTTTGGTCCTTACCTTCATAAAGCTGGGCATACTGTGGAAACCCTGCTGCTCGCAGCCAGGTACAGGCCTCTTTGGCTTCAATTTCTGTGGAGAAAAAACAATGGAAGAAAACCAAGACATGTTAAGGTTTTGTGGGAGACATTTTAACCTGCTTTAGCAGAAAATATTACCTAAGTACAATTATTGCAACACACCAAATATCTTCTAAAAACAAGCGTCTTGTATGAGGAGTTGTAATTCTTCGACACAAAGATCTTTAATTATCATTTAAGTTCAAATAAAACCTAATTTGAAAAAGACGCAACTCCATCAGTATAGTCAGATAAGACAAAGACCTTAATGCTTGAACATGCTAACAGCTTATCAATGTGAACCCCTTGACCCTTTTAGCTATCTCACACTAGGTCACTCTCCTCTCACATGCTTCTAAAGCTAGAGCTCAAAGCATCACTCTGCAAATTATGTTAACCCCATCACACCCCAAGTGTGTGCCACTTAAGCTCCTTATGCAGGTAAGGTGAGGGTTCCCACAGAGATCTCCAACCCAAGACGTTTGAGTTGAGCCAAACGTATGACACATATTTACCATTTGAATTGAATTGTCATTTGTGACGTTTACATGCTTTTAAAAATGTTTTAAACATACACACAAGTATGTACATGTGTTGTGTCCATCAATAACTCCTGTTGGACATGTGCACAACACATCTCCAACACTGCCAGACAAACTCCATCAAACACAAGATGCAACATTTGGGCTTGCTGTGCTAAGTACCGACTGAATGTTGACGTCCACTGTGACACAGAAGCCATTGCAATGTCTACCAGTTATCTGTGAAAGCCTTTAGTTGACATATGCCAAATGGCTGCAAACACCCCGGCCTCCTCAGTTTCTCCTAATCACCCCCACTGCCAGCAGTCTGCATAGAGAGGACAGACAGAAACATGTCTCCAGGCCTAAAGGAGCTTACTTTACAATGTCTGCTTTGGTGAAATAACAGTGAGCACAAATGTAACACAACCTTGAGAAAAACTTGTAAACCAGACCAGAGCAACAAAGGCAGGGAATGAAACCACTGATGAAAGCAGCAACATATGGAATTACTGCTAAACATGTTACCTCTTAATTCTGTTAGCAATATTTCAAGTTTTTTTGTCTGAAATTCAGGGAGAATAGTCAAAAGTTTTCATTTGAGTTAAAAAACGTACAGACTTAATAGTATGTACTTTACACTTTTAGAAAGGTTGATGTGTTGAGCTTAGCATACCTGATCTACACATAGTAACCACCATTAGTATATATTATCTTTTAAACATCTAAAAGTTCCACCTTATTTCAAGGCTAGATTACACAAAGAGCCAGGAGCATAAAAAGAAAGCATACTGTGAGTGAAGAGAGACAAAATACTTTTCTGCATTTTGTTGGCAAACAACAGAGATTATGCGGACGTTTACCCGCAATAAATAATGTCAGACAAATGACACTCTACCAACTCAGAACTGACTTGACACAAAGGTAAGGTAACCATAAAGTCCTGTCACACAGACAGACTGAGGCCAGAAGAAGACTTCTGTTTCAAAGGGTCTGTTCTCAACCATATATGAGCATTTACATACCAACAACAAGCCTAGACGGCAGACAAACCCACTAACAACAAGGTGTGACACGACCAACACAGGGTCTACCCTCTACCACTGCAGGGGCCTGCACTCCTGAAGCAACCACTGCGACACTAGCATGCACCCAAGTGTGAAACAACACATTAACATCTATGCTTTAGCCCAGTTTTATTTGACAAATCAACTCTCATGTGGAATGGCATGTGTCAGAGGCTGTGTGTTCAGTGGGTGTGTTGGGCTGAGTATTTTTGGTGCATAGTGAACCCGGAGGAACGTAAAAAAAACCCAAGGATAATTATACCAACATTCTCGAAAGCAAGCACTGCATAGGGCCAGAGATTCTTGTGTTTGCTCATGTTTTTTTTTTTTTTGTGTGTGTACTAGTGTGTGCACAAGCTGTTCTGTGTGCGTTTGCAAAGACCAACCTCATGTTTAAAGACAACCCACTCAAAAGACAGTAAAGCTATTGAAATGCAAATTAGACATACAAACACGTGGTTAGCTTTCCACCCCCAAACCCCAAAAAGAAGGCTATGGGATCCATTAAGTGCCTTTGGAGCGAATCTATCCAGTGACACACCCCATTGGGCTAGAATGTGTGTCAAATCCACTTTACAGTGACATAATGTAGACTTGGTATGCCTTAGAAACAAAAAATAATGACAGTATTCAACACGCAGATGGGTACAACTGAATAATATTTGCTTCTGCTTCACCACATTTTGGGACCATTTGTTGAGTAGGAATATTTTTTACATCTTTTGTGTGGCCGCAGGAAATGGACAGGGGCATCTGGCACAAACAATCTAACAATAGAACCACACACACATAGTGTCTTGTCTTATCTGGGATATAAAAGGTTGGCTCAACCAAGCAATAAAATAGGTTCATAGGAATTAACTGAAACTGAAAATGTCTTTCTACAACACCCAAACCTTTGCATTTCTGTTTACTTCAGGTCCATGGTTTATCTTTTTTTCATTTTTGTCTTCCCTGACTGTCCAACCCAATTCTTTAGCCCTCGCCAGAGAACTACTTCACTTCCTTTTCCTGCTTCCCACACAGGAAGAGAGCTGAGCGGCGCTGCGGTGGCTGCTGACCACCACGCTATAAGGCCCTGCCTTCGTTTGTTGCTGGCCAGATAATAGGCAAGGAGGAAGCCAAGACAAACACTGGCTCCGGTGATTGTGTGTACAAACCAAACGTCCTCATGGTTTAGAAAGCTACAAAGTCCCACTCAACAAATGTGTTATAGAAAGTACTAAGCACCTAAATATGGCAGCAAAACTATTTAAACACTAAATTATTCTCAAATAGAAAGCTTGGTTTCACTAACTTGATAATGACGCTGATGTTTGGTCTCCATGTGCCAAGTTGGCAGACATACAACAGATTATAAATGGGAAAGGAGTCAGGCCAGCGCCACAGTTTCAAGGCCAACTACAGAGCTGAAGATACTGTCATAGTAAACTTATTATCCAACAAATGAGCACATATTTCATTATGTGCAGTTTAATTTTTATAGAAGCACCTTCAGGACAAATCTCTATTCTCTTCATGTACAGATGTACTTACTGTAAGAAAGAACTACTAGGAACAATGGCAAATGCAGCAATATAAAGTTCCACAGGAACCCTACAAGACTTTTGTCAGACCTAAGACATCGACAGAATGTAATTCCATGACTGCAAAAGGTAATATTCTGCAGAATCAAATCTTCTTCACTTTTGATGATCTCATTAGGATCACTGGTTTGGGCCTGGATGGCATGGAAACAAAACAAATGTGGATAGATTCATACACTAATCTCAGTCCAGACCAGAACTTCTGGTCCTACTGAGGAAGCCACTCAGGATGTCTGAAACATGTCCGCCAGGCTGGACAGAATGACAGATGTATTCGTGGCTAAAACTGAAAATCAAGCCTCCAATAAGGACATGTTTTACAGACTAAATGTATTTGGTTAAGACAAATCCTCTCAGTTGGAATAAAAATAAGTTACATTCGTTCTGGCCAAAGGGAATGAGCAAAAAACAACAGAAATACAGTACTTCACAGTGGGAAAGAAAGATAAGAGCGAGTAACAGCAGATAACAACATTAATGAGAGTTGAGCTGATGCTAATAGAGATTTCATATAAATCCCATGGGGCTTTTCTTTTGGAACCTGGCCAAAGCTGAACTGGTAAGCAGCCAGTCAGTGTTAAGCTTCACCTTCTGCTCTGGGGTATCCACTTCTAAAATTATCCATCATAGTCTTTTCCTTTCCCCTGCTCTCACCCGCCTCTCCTCTGTTCTCTCTTTTGCTCTGTGGCTGTTTCAGCTCCGCTCAGCCCCTCTCTTCTCTCCTTTCCTGTGGCAGGAAATTCTCACAATTGCCGACCAAAATGTCCCTCCCTTGCAGGAGGCAGCGGGGTCTGGCTTGGCCAAGTCTGAAAGCTCAGCTCCAGTGGGAGTTCGTCAGCAGCTAGCAAACAAAGGATGCTGCTCCCCACCTCAAAGGCTCTGCTATATACATGGCAAACTGGAGGTCAAGACTCTGAATACAGTTATCACCAAAGCTAGGTCTTTGAAGTTGGCATAGAAGAATGCTTGACTAACAACTGTTGTGAATTGAGCTGGCTTATCTGGAATTAGCCGATTGTCACTGGGTCTGAAAGTACCGACTGTAAGACAACCCAGAGGCAGGCAGGGGGGGTTCTTATCAACTTCAGGTCTGAGTGGGTCATTCTGAAGGAGCTGCAAAGTGGGTCTAGACAGGTAATGTGATAAACCAAGCCATACTCTGTGGCTTGATCTACACCAAGGGAAGCTAAAGCCTAGATGCTGTCAATGTTGTCATCCGCCTCAAGTCATAGACAAACTCTTGATGTGTCCATGAACTTTAAAAAAACATATTTCTGTTTAATTTGAGCTCTTCATGAATGATCCCAATGTCATTGGAACAACTGAAGAGGACTGTTTTTCTTAATGACCAATTTATAACCCCTCCAGTAGTCCCCTGGAATGCAAAGATGGGCGATAACAGATTTTCTTTCTGATGGGTATATGGTTTTCTTGATTCCACGCCTGAGACAGCTGGTGTTCCCTGAGAGGGTCTGGCTGTTAGCAAAGTGAGACGATGCCAGAAATATCACCATCTGGCCGGTCTTAAGCTATGCCCAATTTACACACACACACACACACACACACACACAAGAAAGAATAATGTGGTTACCATGGCCCATTTAAGTTATCTAGCACCAGTTGGGACAATCATTGAATGGTCAGACATATAAGCACTCAAACACACAGCTGGTCCACATGGATCATCGCAGAGCTAACCCCAAAAGCCCCTGCGCTCTCTGACAAAAGATTTATGCTCACACAGAGGGTCCCAGTTGTGGTTCAGGTGATAAGCTTTCCAGAGACAGATGACAGCCTACCAGCGTGGGCCCCCACTTGATAACTATCCTTTCATAAAAC